TGATTTTAAGTGATTAATGGATACGTATAGTTACAATGATGAACTAATAAGAGTATGATAGCAACGATAAGCCGTTTCTTTAATAAGACAGACATATAAGACAGTTTACAAACGTATCGTCTGATTATTACAAAATAAGACTGACACTTTTTCTTTCTGCTCTCTGATTATATTAGGCAATTTATGCATGATGTAAACCTGTGAATAAAAGCAAACTAAAAGATACCTATTTCTTATTTAATTAAACATGAATCGAATGTGATCAATTCTTATAATAAAAATAAACATTATATTTCACTCATATTTTTGGATCACACTTACATCTTAAGGATAACCTTTTTACAACTGGATTTCACTTTAGTATTTCGTTCTGTTATTGAAATTTATATATGGTACATAGTCTAAGACAGATAGAGCATTGGGTAGACAGTTAATAATAAGTATTTTTTCGTTATATTCCAATGAGTAGAAAAATTGTATTTCTAACGTTTTGTGACTTCATGTTATCCACTTCTTCATAGGAAACTGCATTGTTTCCTTCGTACTATTTTAATTTATGTGAATTTAGTTTTGGTTATTTATTTACTCTGAAGAAGTGGCTTACATTAAGTCACGAAATGTCCGAAATATATTTTATATTACTCACTGGGATATGACAAAAATATATTTATTATATACGATGGCTTAATTCTGTCATTTAATAAGGGATTCCAAAAACATCCTATCGACTTTCCATAAATAACGACGAAGAGCTGATTATGAATCTCACTGTTAGTAGTTTGCTAAAAATATATTAGAACGAGTGACTGAAGACTACATTGAGGTAATTTTTCATGTAAAACAGACAGTAATCTCTTACATTTCTGAATATAAACAATAAGAAATTACAAACCCTTACTAGAAGTACAATTGTTAAGAAAATAGTTAATTGAGTTACATATATTTCAGATTCATCTGTACTGTAATTTCTCATGAATAATATCAGTAATAAAGCATAACAATTTCTTACATGTTTGACAGTATTTTATACATTTTTTCTGAATCAATTTAGCACCTACGAATGTCATTACTATTAATATTAATAATAATACCAATAATGATACAAAAACTACCGAGATCTTTCCATAAACATATTCAATGTACTAATGTTCAGAAAATTTTATCACGTCATCACTATGTTCTTTTTCTTTATCTGATTACAAGACATTTGTCTATTAACTTTTATCAGTTTTGGCATTAACCAACAATGCCATTTGCAAATAACACAATTGATGAATGTATTATATACAAAAAAGTGATTAAAACACATTAGTTAATAGTTTTGACTAAGGATTATTGATTTAAGCTTATTGTGGTGTGGGTTACTGATATCCACATAAGTAGTATATAGTGATGGTCGGGCATTGAATGTATTTTGGTAGAAGATCGATATGGAGAGAATGGGAACACCACGTCATCGGTACGAAAATGCATGAACAACTATAATCGGAGACTATGAAGGGATATTTGCAGAAGAAACAATCAAATTGAGACAACTGATTGTTGTTTTGCAAATTAACTGTTCACTATATGGTTCTTATATTTTAATCAGACATTCTAAATTTTCCCAACCCGTGTTCTTGTTTACTGCATAATAATGAGAATACATAGATGAATAATGATTATTGAAACCTTGTGATATATATTATATCAGAATTCATAATCATCCATTTTTCTTGTCGTTTCTTTGTATATTACAGTGTGAAACCGACTCCATGACAATCAACTTCAGTCATATCATCCAATATTTTTATTGTTTAAGACAAACTGGGTTATTTATCTTGACTCCTCAAAATCGAAAATAACTAGCTCTTAGAATTTATCAGTCAACACAAAATCATCAGTTGTATTTGCTTTGTCATGAAATCTTAAGATTATTCTTTCTTCTCTTAATCAGTAAACGTTTTCTCAAGGAATCCTTAATTGTGAGAAAATTCAAAGAGGTTATTGAATTGACTGACTTACACTATACGTCTAGTAGCTAAACAATTCTCTCTTAATTTATTATTTGTTGAAATCAATGAAGGTGTAATATATGAAAAACCATTTCATTACCTTCAGCCCCTTGATACTGGTTTTACTAAATATTGACGTTATCCATCAACCAATAAATATTCCATGTTTGGTTTCAAGGCTACTGAAATTCGTTGATATTCTAATTAGTCAAACTGTAAAAATATTTACAATATTTTACATAAAAACAATTTATACTATTTTAATGATTTGTAACAATGAATTTGTTTTAATAGAAAATCAGCCTAGTTATTTCGTAAATAGAAGTTAAATAACAATTGACATGATAAAATAACTTCTTTTTTTAAAGTTTAGAAAGTGTGTATTGATTTTTCTTTTCATTCAGTTGAACATTGGATATTAGTTATCTAGGGTTTCAGTTAGTGATAATCATGTTTATATACAGAAATAATCACAATAGTGTTAAACTATTTAATTTCATTGTAAGCAAAGATGGATAGTGGCTAGCAGTGAAATCCAGGACGTGCGTTTCTTCCTATTTGGGACTCGTCAGCTGGATGTACCTGTATCTCAGAATTGACGTTCACCCTGGGACTCAAACCCGGGGACTCAAACGCTAGCCACTGTCCATCTTTGCTTATAATGCTTGCGAATTAAGGCTTTATCGAGGCATTACGCACAGTTCCACCAATTAGAGACTGACCAGTTGCAGTCCTAAACATCAATGAGAAGATCCAGACAAACAATACTAAGTGAATCATTCGACTAAGTGTTTGTTTAATATTAACATTTTTAAAGCGTTTTTTCGATTTAAAAACATTGTGGTAGATGTTTTCAAGAAAGATATTAATTTCGGAAAGTTGTAATTGAATATAAGATACTGATATGTAGTTTATATCGAGGACTACCATTAGCAATATCGATATTTGACTCTATCTAATTAAACACTGTAAACCATTGGATCCCAACGTGTTAGTCTAATGTTAACTTGCTTACTGAGTAACCTAAAATTCTTTGGTCGGACTTTTAATAAGGTCTGAAATTTACGTTGTTGAGTAATTCCTAGTTGATAAGATACAGGAATCCAGTTCTCCTTAATTTTCATGGATTGTTTAACCAAGATCACACCTTAATCTAAACTATAAGCTATGAAATCTGTTCATAATTGATGTTTTCTCTATTTAAAAGTATATATATAAATTACACATTAAAATAGTTCAATGTATTTAGTGATTTTCTATGGTTCGAGTCCATTTTTAACTAACCATACTATTCTGTACTTTTTCATTATTTCTTTCTCCTTAAGGTTTCACACTACTTATTTTATGACATAAGGATAATAAGTAAATTTTCATAGTAATAACTTGTGTGTACATGTAACCACTTAAAAAGTCAATATGATAACCTACTATGATGGATTTGTTAGCTTTCTTTTTTTGATATGAATTTATCCAATCATCCGTGGTTTATTAATTGTATTTTATGTCATAAAAATATAAGCAAAAAATTGCATAATACAATTGCCGTCCATCCTCCCTCCCACACACACACTTCTATGTTATCGACATTATCGATTTAATGTTGTACTTTTGATTGAAATCGCCTACATGTATACAAATATTTTAGGACATATTTTACCAAATGATCTGACTGTCTTCACAGCAATACGTCTATAATTGTCCACAACTATAAATTATAAATTTACTGTATATAACATTTTAACATATACATATAATCATCTCAATCATTTGATATCGTAATGTGAATAATGTAGTCGAACGATATTTATTTATAGAAACCGGATTATTGACGAAATATGTTTCTATGTATAAGTTCTGAAAAATAGAGTAGTTGATCAGCAAAATAGTTACCATGAATTATTTATTCTTAAATATCAAACGATCGAAAATCCCACTAGAAAAGTTCTGTTTTAAATCTGAGAGTAATCGATGCTCTTTGATGGTTTGTTTATTAAGGAACCTAAAACCATACCTGAAACGAAGATTTCTTCAACGTCAATCATTTAAAATAAAATCATTAGAAATTTACTTAGTATTGTTTGTTTGGATCTTACCATTGATGTTTTTAGGACTGCAACTGGTCAGTCTCTGATCATTAGTGCTTGGAATTCTAAGCGGAAGTCAAATGAAAAGTCTCAAAACATGAGGGCATTATGGATTTCAATTAGCTGAAAGCTTAAATTTAAAACTTTTAATTGCTCATAATCAACTCACTCAACTTATCGACTTGATAGTTAACATAATCCTCTATAATGTATCGGCACAATTATCTTATCTGATGTAACCTACTAACCCTGAAGATGAAAAAGTTTTACTCTATTTATTTCATGCGAAATTTATTACGAAAAATCTTCACATTAATTGATGAATACTTGTAACTACAAACTTCAGTCCCTTCAAATAGATAAATACCGCTAACTTGAATTTGTGAATCAACTAGAGCTTATTAATCGTTAAAAAATTATAAATTCAAAACCAAAGAAATGCCGCTGAAATCCCTATTTCTAATAAATTCCAGTCTATCTGTAACAGAAACAACAACAGTTCATAACCATATCAGACATTCGACTGGAAATTACGTAATATAAAAGTAGTACTAATTATGAGGTGGAAAAAGTTTGTTAATTGTTAAAAAAAAATCTACGAACTATGTTTTCAGTTACCATAATGAATGATTTGTTTATAAATTTTTGTGCAAAAATCACAAAGATTGTGGTTACTCTTTAGTTACTGGTGTTAACAATCAGGAGGCCTAATGTTCAATCATCTTGTTAACGATAATAGTATTATCAAAACATTTTGATTCTTTTCACACACTACATAGCTTTTCTATTTATAATTAAACTTGCAATAAATAGAATCATTGGTATAGACAATTTACTGTAAATTTATAATCAAGTATTTTCATCTTTAACAGGTTAAAACAACTTATTATTTCCGATTTATGTTTTTATTTTGATATTACAGCTAGTTGTTCCAATACACAAAGTGGTCAGTGGAAAAGATTTGGATGTTCCAGACATAGTTCGAAGTATATGTCTTTGGTTAGGTTAGTAAATAATTTTAAAATATTGGTATATTATGTCTAAATAGTTCTTTCTTACCAGTGTTTTATCACCTAGACTAGTTGTTTGAAGTGTTTTTTCATGTGAATATCGCTTGAACATTGTTTCGATTCAGAAGAAAAAATACAAAACACAGTTTAGTTAATTAATGATACCTATCACATAAAAGTAAAAAGGACTTATACCATGGAGATTCCAAATATTATTCCTTTCCGACCAATCAAACATTAGTCACATGTATTCGATCGATCGAATAATACGAACTATTCATACTAGTTATCGATATATATTCAGCTTGGCGATTAATGAACATTATATATTAAGTCACATAATGAAGAATGACACATTGAACAGACAAATAACTGAAGACCAACTAATGTTGAACAGCTGTTTCATTATGTTCTAAGACCCTGAAACAGTGTGTATTCAACTAGTACAATACTGGTATTATTTATGGTAAAAACTTATCATTAAATTAAACCGCTAATCACAGTGCTGAATAACAATATTGGATATCTATGTATTACGTACATTATTTAAGAACATTTGAAATCAATAACTCGATTAAAATGTCACTTACCATTTTTTTATATTTTAAGCGAAATGTTCATTTATTTATTTGAACACATACAAAGGGAGACCGAATATATATATGCGCCACACAAGTCACTTGATTTGTGTGTGGGCTGTGGTACTTCCCGGATGTCCAGATAGAAACAGGTGGTTTTCTAGGAGGGCCATACTTGGAGCTCTTCAACTCAAAGTCTAGTTCACAAGGCAGTGAAGCAACTATAGGCGATACAGTCCCATGGTAGCCAGTGACCAGCAATGGATTCATACACTGTTTGTTTTTTCAGGATCCTGAAGCTCAAGAGCACCATTGGTTTAGAACCAGGGTTTTCCAACTCCCCTTGGTGGATCCTATATATCCACCAACCCGCTTTTCTTCATCTCAATTTCGTAAACAACTACCCCTCAGGGAGAAGGTAATGAGTGGGACTTCCACGGTAGTGGCTGCAAACGTGTGACCACATGACAGCATTTCGAGGAGAGGAGACTCTCCCACCTTTGACCGAACCAGGGCATTTTGAGGCTTAAGTTTAAAGAATAGACACATACTACTAGTCATCATTCTGATCACCTCGAAATCCACTGATCACCGGTTCAAATAAACAATCCATAACTCTTCGAAAAGTATATCCAAACGATTTATTAAAAGTTAAGGTATCAACCATTGTTTTACGCCCAAAAACAGTAGATGTAACGTTTTGTTTATAATTTTGCAGATTTACTTGCAAATAATTGTTTGTTATTTGGTATTTTCTTTAAAAAAAGTAGATCGCATTTTAAAATGAAATTACTTGAATGAATCATAAAAACAGAAAATGCACTATGCACAAAATATGTATTCTAACCAACTTAGATGTTATTGAAAGGAAACATTCTAAGTCTAGACTATTTTGTTCTTATAAAAATAAATCAGTATGTGGGTTTATGGAGATTTTAGTTATTCAAATAGCTGAATTCAAGAATCTGTCTAAACTGAACCACCATTGAAAACATTGAAGCAGTGGAAAGCCGTTTCGTCCAAGTATATGGCTTCTCAACAGTGAGCATACACAATTTCACGCTCAGGACTCGAACCCAGAACCTTTGGTTACGGATGGAGTTAGTCATTAACACCGTTTGGTGTCAGCTCAGTCATCTGGAAGTTAGAAACTAGCACGACAGTTCGATAGTTCGAATCACTCGTGCTGGATCGTGGATGCGCACTGCTGAGGGTTACCATACTAGGACAAAACGGTCGTCCAGTGCTTCCAGGTTTTCAATGATTGTCTGGCTTATGTTGACTCATGAATTCAACTACTAAAATAAATATAAATGTAAAGATGGTTTAAGGTTAGTTAGAGAAGTATGACAATTCGAGAAGTGTTGGACTCTTACATCATTTTACTTTGGTAGGCCATATTTTCAAGTTTCGGATCAGATGTTGTAAATAAAGTCTTGAGAAAATTATTCTAGATTATTTTTAAATAAAAGCTCTAATGATATGAAAGATTTTTTACACAAGATAATTGTTATGTTCATACTACTGATGTATTCATTAAAAGCATTGTCTTAATGTCTATCATTTGACCAGATAATATATCGGTTGTGTCAACCAAACCAAATTTTCATAAACTAAATCGAGATTTATAATTTTTCAATTTTCAATACACAAATATTCTCTGAAATAACCATATAAATATATGAGAACTAAAATTGAGTGACATTTTGAAAATTAGAAAACTTATATATTTTGGCTAATAGTGAAAATCGAGAAGCATATTTCATACTGTTTGTGACTTATCTTCTAAGTGTTTCTGTATCCCTCTATTGAATTGTACAGAAAAACTTGTATCTGATACTTATTGGTTCAAATGTCCAATCAAGTCCAGATAGCCACCATTTTAATGTTTACGATGTTACTATTAGGAAAGAATTTGAATTATTGTGTTGTTGATATTCAAAGCTAAATCCTACTTTTATGCTTATGTTTTTGTAGGCTATTTAAATTCAACTATTAATCCAGTCATATATGTGATATTCAACCGAGATTTTCGATTGCCATTTCGAGAAATACTTTTGTGTCGATGTCGTGGCATGAATGCACGTTTAAGATCACAGAAATATGCTTTAGAATACGGTATGGCAACCTCAAATGCAAGTCAAGGAGGAGGTGGTTACACTGTTGGAGTTGGTTTTAGTGGTCCAGGTTGCGGATTTAGTTTTTCTGGACCATCACTCCCAAACAATGAGAATAATAATATTAATAGTTCTATGATTGGAATCACCAGTGTTCATAGTCAAGGTATGAATTTATGCAATAAAGCGAAATCTCAAAATAATTCACATAATAACACTGTGAATACTTATCAGTTGGAACGCTTCAAAAATCATACGAATCTAGGTTTTAAACATTCAGGTCAAATAGACAGTCTTAATTTGTCAACTGGTCGATATACTAGACATCAAAGTGGATCCGTTTCATTTAATCGATAAATAATGAAAACAGAAAATATGACTTGGTTCGTTTTTTTTTTCTCTACACATTTCATCATCACCATTTCCATTCATAATTGGAACTGTAGAATTTCCAAACAGAAATCCACCCACTGTTCAACGGTCCAATTATCGTCTTTCATTGAATATCAAAGAAGTGTAAATTCTTCAATACAGATATAAAAACCTAATAGAGAAATGATTAAATGTAAAAAAAAGAGTACTTTGCACTTTCCCTTTTCAAATTTTATCAGAATAGAAACATTGAGTATTAAAAAGATGATAAATTATCGCGTTTATATTCTCCTTTCTATTTTGGATCGTTTGTTTTTCATGTTTATCACCTGCATAGATTTAGCCCTGATTGGTAAAATGCAAATTTTAAATATATTTTTCCATTCTATTCACATTTTTACGTATTGTACATTCTTTCATCTGCTTCTTACCTTTTCATATTTTCTTCTATACCTACCCGGCGTTTCACTGTCACTATTTATAAAATATTTTTTCAGATATGGTTATTTTTTTGAATGTACCAATGTAATCACTATTCACCGCTTATGATTATACTTCATAAGAAATTCCTATACATTTGTTTAAATAAATGTACCGCGCCAATATTTCAACATATTTACTTTAAATACAGCATAACAACCAAACGAACAAATCAGTAAAAACAAAAATATCTATGTGACTCAATTATTGATTGACTGTCTCTTTTAGATTCGCCGACTTATTTATTGTTAACTACTACTAATATGAAAGTATATGTACCACATAATTTGCAACACTTTATATGCAATTACACTAAACACTGAAACAAGTGTAACAACAGTGAACAAAGACATGGAAGGAAATAGATGAGGATTGCATGAATAACATAAAACGTCTGTGTATCTACACTAAGGAAAGATTTCCAGCTATTGGCATACTTATATATATATATATATATGCATGTTTTTTATTGTTCACGAATATCAAAACAGAAAAATGTTTCAAAGAATGTTTTCTGACAATATCTTCAAGTAGACTAATTATTTTACTACTTTTGAATATTACTATCTACTCAGTTCACTTTCCATATTCCTTTTGCTTGATTTCTGTCTTTCACAGCCTGTCAGTAGAACTTCAAAAATAAAGAAAAAAAATATTTTGCATTTGACAAAAACGATGAATGTATCTACTTATAAGTAGTAAAAATCAGAAAAAAAACAAATTCCATCACCATTACTACTGTTTATTTTACTACTAAGATATGCTTACTGAACAATTTGAGCTATATTTTTTTTGGAAACCAAATGATTGCATTAAGTTAATGTTATATACACTTTATTGACTACCATGTTTATTTCACTTAATTAATGTTCATTAAAAGATTGCATTGTCTAATCACTATTCACTAGTGAAACGTGTTTTTTTTGTTTTGTTTTTGTTTTTTCTCACTTCTTTTTCACACAGCAACAACCAAATCAGTAATAAACTTTTTAAAAAAAATTCTTTTTTTTTTGTTTTCTAATTGCATTTAAATGCGCTTATCGATACTCAAACTTCCCTTGCAAATCCTCTATAACTTATATAGTTTGTTTCCAGATATAACACTATATAAATTTGTAAGATATATAAATATATAGAGATATAATACATTGATATATTGTATATATATAGTATTCTGAAGTCTCTTGGTTTGCTCATTATTGCAGTAAACACATCATGTGATCATTGTATATTACGTGTTTACTAATTATGTCATTTCTACAAGCCTGTTATTGTTTATTTATTTGTTTTCTTTTCTGGACAGAAGTTTATACGTTTAGTTCTATTTATTTGTGAGTATATTCAATTTATTTGATTCTACCTTCTTTTTCTGTTCACTCTTCATAGTTCTTTTTTTCACGTTCACCTTCTTTGATCTTTCTCACTATTATTATTATTATTATTACTATTACTATTTTACTTTTATGATATGCCCAATAGCATATCATGCATAAAGGGTGATTAAAATAATATTTATAATAAAAGAATTAACCCGAAGAGATTTATTCGATAAAATAGTTTAATCAATGTACGAATCCTTTCACAACCATTTTATTTTCAAAGCTGTACAGCAGTATGTAAATATTATATATATAATTTATTAATCTGTGAATAATTGTTTATTAAAATCCGATTATAGTTTGCGTAAAGAAATGATACCAGTTCAATATCTAGGAAAACAACACACAACTGTCTCTTCCTAATATGGGACTCCTCAGCAATAAACATCCACAAATCCTTAGTAAGGATTGAATCCACCAGGGTATACGAGTTTTGCTGCTAGTGCCAAAGCTCTAGATCATTGAGATGGCTTCCGAAGTTAACATGTTCAACTTCAATCAATTCACAGCATCACTCAACCATATTATAATTCTATAATTGGTGGGTAACTGCTTCATATTCAACACGATCATACTTCACTAGCCACTGCTTCAAAATATCTCTGAACGAATAATCTGACGAAATTAATCATTAGTAATCGTATGATTATTAAATACAACAGAGAGCTTGTGGAGGTTGTCACACTTTATAGATTTCGAGATGTAATTCCTAAAATTCGACAACTCACGTAACCCTCCTTAAGAAATCTGATTAGTTCTTATCTGAGATTTAACTACATGATAATTTTAAATGGACAAAGTTTTATTGAAAGTAGAGTTTATAAAACATGAGATATATGTTGAAATGAAGATGTACGAATGATAATTAAGGCATCTATATATAAGACAAATAAAAATAGTATAGTAGAGTAAATTAGAATCACTTTTATATATGTAGTAGTAGAAAATCAAGAAAAGGAGATAATCCGATGAACACAATAAAATTACAAGGTAAGGTCATGGCTAAGAAAGTTATTTAAAATGATTTTCCTTACACGCACAACTAAAGTTTTATATTGTGGATGACCAAAGCTTACGCAACATAACGTGAGCTAAAGCATACATCTCTTGGTTTCCTTAATCAGATTTTGTGAATTATACTAAAGAATAAATCATAAACTAAATGTCTTGCATCCATCACATGCTATAGAATACATGAGGTAAATGAGTTATTTTGGCATACATTGAGTCATATACAGAGTTCCTCTAGAATGAGACGTTGGGACGGTCTCTATGAACGGAATATGAATCTAGTCCCCCCAGACCAGGTGAACTGGTTTACGCACATTGAGTTGGTTAATCTTGGCAATTTCTCGTTCCCATGTGGGACATATAAGAGAATGACAACAGTATTTTATAACTTTAGAGTCTGATAAAGGAGTGACTGGAAGCAATTGCTTACCACAATATTATGTGTTCTTAAACACTACGGTAATTTTTCAATTCATAAATATAATTTGTATAATAAATTAAACTCACCAATAAATTAGTGTTCTTATTTTCGTCTGATGTATAAGACATTTGCATTTAGGCATTAAAATGTTACGTAAATGGTTCTCATTACTTTTCTTAAATGTATGAATGTTAAACAGTGTATAAACGAACTTCCTAGATGTACGTTTTCGAATGCCTTACAGCTGAAGTGAATCAACTTCATTTTGTCATTCAACTGTATTCATTTCACTATACATACTTTAGCATATATCTTACAATTCAACTTCTGATTTCGTCTTGTTTTACAGACCGTGAACTATTAATAATTAAATATTGTGAATATACATTGTCATGTTATTGTAAAGGATCATTTTTCATCACGTCTTTTATTATATAAGTTATATCTAATAGAGGTTAATTCAGACAGTGGAATAATATCCGTTAAGCTACAACGTTATAATTGTGATCAATGTATGACTAAAGAATAATAGAGAGCATAATGATATTTTTTATGTTATAATTGCATATAAATAGTAAATACTATTGATACTCATTGTACTGATGTACAAATCGCTATTCATACTGATATTCAACACTAAAGAGAGATTATAATATGGACTGCAATATTTAAACAGAGTGAGTATAAATTATTGGAATTGCCTATCACATTTCTTTTCATCTTAAAGTAAGAATCTATCAAAATATATTACACTATGATATGAAAGGACACTTCATGAGCTACTTACTTTAAATATGTAGTCTTGTTCATGTTTTTATAGAAATGTTCATCTTATAGGGATTTACATAACATAACTGACTTCTGACTAACATTTTCCTTCACATTAATATTTGGTAACTGAGCCTCATATATAATTGGTATCCTGGAGAAAAAAATTAAGTTTGTGTTTGTCTTGTGAATATATATGTATATGTATGTAATACCTTTTGGTTAATTATTTGAAATGTATATAACCCTTAACGTTTTATGTACTTGTGACCAACTTTTCATTATGGACTTATGATTGTTTAGTATAACGTATACTAATTGGAGTGTATTGGATTCTCCAAGTTGCATGGTTCAGTGAGGAAACTCTGAATGTCATTCTGGGCAATACCATCAGAATCCAACTCACTACCAACATACATCTGCTTGAGGTGATGATATCATCCACTATGATAATTAAAAAAACCTATTCCTGATATTTTCACAGTCTAATGTATTTTATTATAGGTACGGTAACTTTAATTATTATTTTCGTTCGGTTTCATCTATGGCCTTAAAGCAGTATGTAACAAATAGCTTTGATCATGCTCTAAAAACTAGACATCTTGTTATCCCATAACTACTGCACAACTATCCGATTCAATCATTGATTTTCTTTCTTTATGATGTTCTGTTTTGACAAGTGGAATCAATAAACTGTTATTTCAAGCTCTAGTGTATATGAGCTTGTCATTTATTTCACTTATCTGATCAATTTATGATAAGTCGATCATTTCTGTTTACTTTTTTAACTTTTTCAAATCTATTTGATGTTGGTGTAGAGTGATCTGTCTTTTGTATTTATTGTTTAAAGTTTTTTCATAATGCAAAATATTGCTTAGGTTGAATTTAAGAGATCCTTTGTTGATAAATGGAAACAAGAGAAAAAAATACACACAGATAACTTCCCATTGATTATTTATTTAACAGAAAATAAACTGTGCTATAATAGTGAACCATTCAGGCTATATAAAAGAGTCAGGTAGCTTCCGACTACATATTATTGATTAGCTAGAAACCTTATAGTTCTGCTCAACAGAATTCGATCAACATTAAAAGTAAAGAAAAATGACACTGGTTAATATTAATTGCTGATTATCGGGAATGAGTGATAATTGGCTTCAGTGTTTAGGATTTTCAAAACATGTATTTGAGGGTAATCCCAATTCCTTCATCTTTTAGAATTAAACTGAATAAAAATAAAGAGAATTCCGCGGTGAACATTTTCTTTGACGACGAAACCATTTACTTAAGCTGTACATTCATATTTTCAATAATATTTTAATATATATGTCTATAGAAGAATATAAAAGATTTCATCATAAAGCGATTTGAAACTCCAAATATCAAATAAAGCCGCGTAATAAACACAGGGTTGGAGAACAATAAGAGGATGAAATTAATTCACGAGTCAGAATTCCGAAAGATAACTGTTCACTTGACAGAATATAAAGAAAAATGAAAAACATAAGGGTCATAATAATAAAAACTAAATAATAATGAAGGTAATAATAACTGCTAACAGTTTGCAATTACAAAGCACTTATTTAAAAAAATACAAGACCGAAACATACTAGGAAGGATGAGAGACTAGGCGTATCGTTTTTACACTCAGAGTTTGTGCTTGAATAGCTGGATAGTCAACACCACCCTCAGCAAAGCTGACGACGTTATGGGGAGCACACTGCTTGCTCAAACAAACTAAAACTGACAGGTCCTCTTTTCATAGCACCTCCAAGTGCATTTACCAGTTAACATGTACGTGCCAAAGCACGCGCTTTTAAAAGAACAGAAAAGTACATGTTCGCATTTCTGTGCATATTCCAGGGAAATTGAGACTGTGAGGCACTATGGCTCTTACATGTGAGATAGCTTAGCATTTACTTGACACCAGGCACATCAATGACATCCCTCAAGCGTTCAAAACTATTAGCCAACAAAGAAACACAGCTACTCTTCAGTTTGCTAAAACAATTACGATTAAAAAAAACTCAAACCTGACTTATGTACCCCAAAAGAGACAGTAATAAACTTATTACTACTCTTGTAAATCATGTTTTCATCATTATTTATATTTTGTCAATGTTTACCTTGTTATGTGATCTTTCCTTACCGAATTTTCACTCTGTCTACATTAAAACCGCCCCTTCACTCATATATTTCCATTCACTTAATTCTCCTAACTTATATAAGCTCTTCAAATCCTGTTCAATTATTACGCGACGCATCTTATCGGTAGTTTAATTCCATGAATCTTGTGTAAACCTTTCATAACCTCTAAAAATTTTCACATAATTTATAACATCTGTCTCTGAACCTCAACTATTGCATCGTCCGACCCTCATGTTTTTTTATTTCAACCCTAAATGATCTCTGACTTGTTATTGCACACGTATATGTAGTTATTAATGATAACTTTTGTCATTCCAATTCCTTTCATTTACTTATGTCAGTTGTTTCACATTATATCTTACCTCGATGTGAACTTTCAATACATATTTGGTTGAAGTAGCTGGCGAGAAACCGCGAAACATAATGAACTCATATTATTCTGAATTTATGTTTCTTAGAAATTGGGATTTTGATGTACAAAATTGACGATTCTCAAACAGAACAGAATGAAGTTTCTGAATTCTGGTACTACTCAGTGTGCAAACATTTTATTCAACTTATAACTACAGGTTATATCCAGGTCTCTGGTCAAATAGTTAATAGGGTAATAGAGACTGCTTAAATTTAATCTTAATGACTGAAATTGAAAACGTAGAACATTATGGATATTAGTAAGTGACATACTTGTTGAACAAACTAGTAGTTATCTTAACGTAGTAACGGATTGACATTTACGTTAGTTAGTACTAAGTTTGATCTTCAATGTGAACATCAACACAGAATTCCAGGTAGATTCAGCTGATGAGTTCCTATTAAAATGAGTTTCATGTTTCGCATTCTGCTTTTAGTCATTGTTTAGATCGAAACAATATATATGATTTACTGTATCATCTGAACAACCCTATTTATGTAATACACAAATGTTTGATGTATTAAGTAGAGCCCCAAATAATACAGTTACTTTACTGATATCAACGGTAGTGTTATTCGTAAGAAAAGTATAATTGATCGATATTCACCAATCAATCGACAGTGTTGAAAGACGAATACTTCACTGAAAAAAATTAAGTTGACTTCAAAACTACATAGTCTAGAAATAGGAATTTATAAATTCCACTTTATAACTGTGACTAAAATAATAACAATTAGATGCTCGATCCATTCCGTCAATCAGAAAAAATGGACATGTTATTCACATTAAAAACACGACGTTTATAGAAGGGATCTCTTTTCAACGAATTTATTATTCATCTGTACAA